CCAAGTATTTTTCTAAGACCTTTATAAATTACTACAAGTAACCAGTGATGTGTGAGTTATAATTTTTTCTCTTTGTAGCTTTCCACTGTGAGTCGGTATCTGGCAGTGGCTGTGCTTGTGGAACTAGGCAAACTTCCCCAACTCCCAGGAATCCAGAGCCCTTTGGGACATAAGTCATACCCACCCCCCAGCAAGTGGCAGTACGGAATTTTCATTATTTTGCTATTCACACTAAGTGTGCTTAGGTATCAAGAGCTTGCAGAATGGTTTCAGTGCAGCATCGTCAGCATGGTATTCAGCGTAATTTTCAGCACAGTAGGTGGTTCAGAGGAGGGTGGGCTTTGGGCCTCGGGGAGTGTGCTGACTGCTCTGTGTCCCCCCAGCTTTCAGATTGTAGGCAAGCTATTTCGTTCATTTTAACCTCAGTTCTCTCATTCATAAAATGACAATAAGTCTTTGCTCAAAGGATGTTACTACAAAGTTAACTGTGATGTACAATGTACATTGTTCTCCAGTAGATAAACAATCATCATCATCAAATAACTGATAACGTAATCTTAGAAGCCAGCTGAAAGAAATATATGTAAGAAACCTTTGGTATGAGATAATTCCTCATACTATCTAGGAGTCAAAAATTATAAACAACGTAAGTGTCTAACAATATAGGGATAGTTAAGTAAATTACAAAATGCCCACAAAATAATGTTTATGGAGTACTTTTGCTAATGCCAGTAACAAATGCTTTTAACGTTTTTAGCTTGTGAATACTAAGAAGCTCGCTTTGATGCTCTACCATAAGCCCTGACACGCCACATGGCAAAAACCATGGCATTGCCCAACTCTGCCGAGTCTTTGAAGAGAGAGCATGGCTTTTGTACAATTTGCACACAGCCTGCACGTCCAACTTCCTTTCTTTCAACTTCTGTTTGGGCTGATGCCTGCGGTTACTTTATTTGTCCCTGTGGACGAGACCTGTTCTCTCCACAGCCACCTGTCCACATGTCTCCCTGCCTTGGACTGCCCACATGGTGACATTGACCCACCCTTGACCTCTCACATCCTTTGTGGCTCTTTCTCCTGCTGTTGCTAAGAGCGCAGTACCACCTGCTCCTCGCCTCTGTTTTGATGTCACCTGCATCTTTTTACTCCCCTGCTATAGGCCAGCCTTCTGCTCAGCTGTCCCAGAGCAGGAGTTCTGACCCTCGTGATCTACAGGGCTTATCTTTTCTGCTGGCTTACAAGGATATCCCCACCCTTTCTTACTGCTTATTTTAAATTTTGTATGTGGGGGTGGGGGAGTGGGAGCTGGGACACTAAATGCACCTTTGCTTTGCCTCCTCCAGCTCTGTGTTTTCATATCCTTATCTGTGCTGTATCTGCATCTGTGTACATGTATGTTATTATCTATCTATCAGCAGCATGTAACATCTATAGCAGATTGTATTGGTGCCCAGTTCCCTCCTGACACTTCCCCCACACCGCCCAGCTCTTAGGTTTCCGGCTGCCAGCATCTGCAGCTCTTCGCCTGAAGGCTTTCTTTGGAGACAGGAGCCTGCACGTGGGAAACACTGAAAATAACTGGAATTAACATGCACGTCTCTCCCCAGCAGCCCTCCACCATGGCAGTTATTGGTGACCAAATGCTTCCAACGCCCTTGCCGTTTGGGGCGTGGGGGCAATTGTGAGCATGTTCCCCACTGTCTCTAGCAGAACTGAGTTCCCCCAGGGAGACTTGTGTATTGGCTGCGTATCACTTGCTGCCTCTTTCCCCACTGTCCTGTTGGTGCTCCACGATCATTTCCCAATACACGAGTTGCACTCAAACCCTCCTCTCAGAGTCTGTCTCTGGAGAAACCCAACCTCATAAAATAGTCTCATTCACATCCACTTCCTCCCGTTTATGTGAAAATGACTTAAGGGTTGGAGCTGACCCTGAGCTAAGTGTGTGCTCAAAATGTAGCAAGGCTGCTAATAAAATTGACATAATCTTAGGCAGCCATACCAGAATCATGGTTCATGAGAATCAAAGTACTTGTGCGGTATCATGTCTAGTTCTGGATGCACTATTGTTAAAGGAAATTCAAAAACCGGATATGACCATGGTGTGATTAGGGGTGTGGGGTCCCAACAACCAAGATGACAGTTAAAGGAAGTGAAGCTGTCTGTTGGGGAGGATGAACCAGTAGTGGCATAATCACCGCATCCAATGGGCTGAAGGGAAGTCATGCACACGGTGGACTCAGTTTGCTCAATGTTTTTCCAGAGGGCAGAACTCTGGACACCAGTTAGTAAAAGGCAAATTTTGATTCTGGAAAATGAAGGATTTTGTAGCTATTAGAGTTCCTTTTCAAATGCAAAATCCTGGCCTCTGGATATTCTTAAGCAAAACTCACCTCAATCCATCCTACCCCTGAAAATAAACCAGGTCACTCATGTAAACCTCTGTAGTTGTCACCAGAAACTCATTTGGATCGCCGACACATTGAGTCTGGAATTCCATCAGACTACTGCCCTGCTATGGCCTTTCTGGTCTGGCCCCTCGGTGTCCGGGCCCTCGGATGCCTCTGTCCTGGATTTGTGTCTTATTAGTTCCATCCTCTCCCCAGCCCGGTGAATTATTAATGATGTCATTTCCGACTCGCTCTCCCAGTGTTCAGGACAGCCTGCTCTTTGTCATTGCAGAACTGCAGTTGATGGACATTGTGACTCCCAGCCTTGCTGCCCTCCCCACTAAGGGGCAGCTTCTCACCCGACCCCTGTCTGACACAGGAAGAGAAACAGGAGCAATGGGAATAGAATCTCTAATGGGGTGAGAACATATTTTAAGTGACTTCTAAATATACTCCCAGCTCTATGATTCTATGACTATTTTCCTTTTCAGCCTTTGTTATTCTTTTCTGTTTCATTTCTCTTGCTTATTAATTTATAAATATTGCTTCTTAAGCTACCCTGAGAAAATTAAGCTGTTTGTTTGTTTAGTGGTGTTATTACTTCAATGTCCTAATGAGGCTCCATGTCTTCTCAAGTCTTGGTGACTGGGTTTGCCTTTCACTTTGCCTAAAGTGTGTACTTCTGTACAGAAGGAACGCCCCAGCCTATGCTTTCCCCAAGGGTGACTCACTTGTCTTCATCTTAATTAGAGCTCGTCTTTAGCACTTGCCTCACCTGGAGTTCACCTGCAGAGGGCGCCGTTTCCTTCACCCACTCCTGCCTTTCCAAACCTCTGGCTGGGCTCCATGGGCACTGAATATCGCCACCCTCTTCTGCAGGCACTCAGACATGCTGCGCAGTGGGGCAGCTCTCTCTGATGTCGGAAGGAAAGCTTGCTTTCCATGAAGGAAACCTGTGTTCCTCTAGTTGGCAGAGATGGGACTAGTGGACATTTAGAGCCCTGGACCCTCTAAATATCTTGAAATAAATCTTCAGAGAATTGATTGGAGACAACTAGATGGGGTTACACACTCATTTCCTTTCTCAGCAAACATTTACTGAGTAACTGTTCTGTCTTGAAGGTTCAGAAATTAGAAAGAAAACTGGGTGCCAAGCTAACAGGAGCTTACAGTCTCTGGAGAGAACGAGCCACGAAGTGCAGTGACGTCAGGGATGAGGATAAATGCTGTGAGAACACAGAAGGGGGCGCAGTCATCACGATACTAACTCCCGTGTGCCATCCTGGGCTCTGAAGAGGAAGATCAGTTCGCAGGTTCTGCACTGGCCTGGGCAGGGGAAGAATCCCTGCCGGCCGCGCACTGGCCGCAAGACTCTGGGCAAGTTGGGTCAGTTCTCCAAAGCAGCCACGTGGCAGTCCTACTGGGGAGATTAAATGAGGATGAATGCAAAGTGCTTAGCAAAGTGTCTGGCACAGAGTAGGCAATAAAATCTCGTTTCCCCTCTCTTTGGTTTCCTCTCAAAGTGTTCTCTGCAAAAATTACTATTTGTGGTATCTGGATCCTAAACTCAGCCTCTCCAAATATCTCCCTTACGATGGAAACTTCTGGGCCCTCTGAGGGGAGGCCTTTGTGACCTAGCATGATAAACAGTGTCCCTTTGACCTACACACCTGAAACACTTTCATTTCCACTTTCTACTTCTCCTCCTCTTTCATCCTCTCCATCTTCTCCTTCTTCTTGTTTCTTATTTGCTCTCATATGACCTTTCCTCCTGAAACACCAAGCTCCCGTTCTGTGATCTTCCATGCTGTTTTCCGGGCGCCATTCTGAAGAAATGCCTGTTGGCTCAGCCCCTGATCTTGGTCATTCTTTCTGTAAAGAGCTCGCTCCATCCAAACACATCATGATCTCAGGAATTTGGCCCATGTGGCACCATGTGCTCCCTTTGAATGACACTCGGTTGGTGTCTTACTGTGTGGGCATTTTATGGCCAAAGACATGAGTAACAGAGGCTCCCTTGTTTTGAGGACCAGAGATGTCTCCATTAAAATGTAGAGGAACGGAACTTGAGGTTAGCAAGAGGACACCAGAGTATGACACCAGCCCCCCTAGAGTGTGAGGCAGGGAGAAAGAAGCCTCGCAGGGCACAAATGAAACAAAGATGGGGGCTTCTAGATGCTTCTGACTCTAGAGTTCTGCTGAAGACCCGGGAGTTTGTCATGCCTCGCCCATTCTGTCAGAAAGCCCAAAGAAATGTCTGTCGTGGTGTTGGAAATTTAGATTTTGGATTTCCTTTTTAATTATTAGAACTTGAGTTACCACCTTACTCATAATCAAACTGCACTGGACGTTGTCACCTACCCTGTCTGTAGATTTTGTGTGATTCTTTCCACCTCTCTCCCAGAAGACAGGTTCTGAGCAAAATCAAACCACGGGATTCTTTCTTGCACCAGTCTGTTACTGTAACCATTACAGACCACAGAGGAGGAACATACACATTTAATAAATAGAAAATCTTTATTGTACAGCATTGTCAGGGTTATTTGACAAGAGGCAGTAACAAGCCAAACAAAAACACGTTTACAAGAAGCTGAACAACTTGTACAAGCACAGACATTAAGGGAAAGAGATTCTGCCCTTTTGGCGTCAGGTCTGTATGTGTCCATTTCCAATTTTGAACACTTATGACTGAAAACCTAATATTCTATTGTATTCAGGAAAACTCTTAATCACGAGTCAGAGCAGTAATCTGATCGCTGTTGAATGTGTTCACCAAATGTCTTGCAAACCTCAGCACAAAGTGACAATTTATATTATTTGAATAGTAGAAGCAGTACTTGGAAAAACTGAATGTGCAAGTCCTGCGATACTAAGGAAGTATGTTAGTGGCATTAAGATAAAAGGCCACGTGTCACTAATATTAGAGAGTACGCTTTCCCTTGCTAGTGGGCCAGTCAGCAGACCACCTAGGAAGCACAGGAGCCCTCATTTCCTCATTCTGCTCCATTACAGTGAAAATCTGGAACTGATTTTCTCTGTTTCAGTCATGAAGTCCTTCTACCAAAGGTGTTATGAAATAATTTTTTGGAAGAAAGGCAGTCCATTCTCGAAGTGGAACTGACTAAACTTGGCAGTAGAATATGGGGAAGACGGGAGAAGCGTGAGCCTCGATCACCACAGTGGATGTTAAACTCTGAACAAGCGATGCAGTGTGTATTTAACAATTCTCACAGGAGTCTGGGCTGAGAAATCAGCAGCTTCGACATGGAGAAAGCATATTAAAATATGACCGCACATAAGGCATAAACAGAGGTATTTAAGGGGGAAAGACTCATTCTACAAATAATAGAAATCAAAACAGCAAGATAAAGCTCTTTATTTGGGGCAAAAAGGGGAAGGCAAAAATGAAACAATTGGATTGTACATGCATGGATATTACACGCAGCAAATAACAAAAATGTAAAGAAAAGTTATGACAATAGGAATATAAGAATAAGAATACATTGAAATGAAAATTAAAACAAAGCAAGAAGTGATGAATAAATAATTAAAAAATTATGAGCAGTCTCAGAAGTTATTATATGCTTTAAGCACATAAAGCTCAAGTAGCTGTGGAAAATCTTTTTTAAAAAACTCTAAAATATCCCGAAATAATCTAAATACTGTCATTTCAATCATAAGTTTTAATAATGACGTGGGCAAGTTTATAAAACATACCTTTTTATTGTTACCCACAGTTCTTGTAAACTTTCAATAATAACAAATTTTCAAACCACTTCATTAATGACATATTTCCACATCATAAAATATCTGAAAAATAAGTTTCCTCTTAGAAGAGGGAGGACTGTGTGAGTAGCATATGAAAAACGTTGGCCCACAGCACTCCGGCCATCAAAGAGTTCCTGCAGATACGGGCGACGATGGTCTATAAAACATCGTTGGAACAGAAAAATATCTACGTTGTATCCGAAAGACTCTCTTCTAGTTGCAGGTAGGTAGGCATTACATTGCACAAATTTTATTATCACGTGTTATACGAGGACACAAGAACACATTCACTTTATAGTTACAGGGACTTCTGTGACAATGTGGAAGGATTCTTTGTCACTAAACACTTAATTCGCCAGTATTAGTTTTTAGGAGTACACCATTAAATTCAAAGATAGGTTTGTTTCTTTAGTACATAAGGAGAAACATTGGCACCAAATACACATACTGCATCTTAGAAGTTCAACTGAATAAGTATTATTTGCTACAGTAAATGGAAGGTAACGATTTCGCCACATGGTTTGTTTTCTGTAACTGAAGGGCAACGGAGAGCCCCTTGGCACAAACACAAGTTAATCCACAAAAGATCTTCAGCCACGTTGAAACGATCTCTTGTTCTGGCCTTTCCCTCAAGTCATCAATAAGCGAGTACCAAATGTGGGAAGGTGATCGTGTTGATTTTGTCCAAAGCCCCATGCTGATGTACTTACTGTCTTGCTTCTCATTGCATCCTTTTCCAGCGCTCAGAATGTAGCACTTCCTGGTGATAATTCTGAGCATGTTTCTGTTTTACTAAATAGAGGGAAATCACAGAGCAGCAGGGCGGCCGTGCACCCTTCTCAAAGTGCGACAGCAGGGTGGCGGGGTGCCAGGTGCAGTGGGTGACCAGAGACGCCCCTTTCTGGGCCAGTTCCGGAGTCTCCAGAAGACCAGGAGTCTGTGGTCCCATCGTGGGTTGTCTGGGAGCTTCCCTGCCTGCCCCTCCTTCGCCCACCTGCTCTGCCTGGCTCCACCAGGCTCCCCGGGAGTACCAGAAATGCCACCAGGTGGACTCATGACTACACTGGACCGCCCTCAGGTGCTGCCCTCTTCCAAACGGGCCAAGTGCATGTGGGCATGCATGTCTATGCACAACTGTGCAAACCAGGGAGACGGTTTTGGTCGATTTTATTTGATCGATTTACTTTTGTGATAAAAGTTACATACTACATGGGATTGTGCTTTGTCAGAATTCCCTTTCTTCCCAGAAAAGGCTTTGACTAATTCAAGAATCCGAATCCTCGACTGGATGACTTTTGGACAGTACGCTCGCTCGGGTCTCCCTTGTGGCGGCGGCAGCCGTCCCTCTCCGCTCCAGACGGCGCCCCCACTCGCAGGCTCCCCCCAGCTTTCCGCACCTCCCTGCAGGCGCCGGCGCTCGCCCACCTCTTCTGCCTTTCCATGTGGACACCTCCTCCCCTACAGGGTGGAGGAGCTTTGCTTGTAGTCCCTCAGAATGACCGAGGCGTAGGTCACGTTGGGAGGGGTGCACAGCACCGACTCGGACACGGGGGAGCTGGGCACCGAGCTGCCCGAGGCCACGGAGTCGCGGAAAGGCGAGGGAGGCGTCAGGGCGGGCGAGTCCTCCGGGGTGGGTTTGCTGGCGGCCGCCGCCGCCGCCGCCGCCGCCGGGGGGTCCTCCTCCTCCTCCTCCAGCTCGTCTTCCTCCGTGTTCCCCTCCCGCTCGTACAGGTACTCCTGCAGGAGCTTGAACCTCTCGCTGTCGTCCTCGTCGTCGTCCTCGTCCTCCCCCGCGGGGGAGGCGGGCTCCTCCCCGAAGGAGCTCAGCTGCAGCGGGAGCATTTGCAAGTGCTGCGGGGGCGCTGGGGGCGGGTACAGGGGCCGCATCCCGTTCCCCGGGCCCCCGGGGAGGGCGAGCACAGCGTTGAAATCCGGGATCCCGGTGCCGAAATTGTTGACCACTCCCTGGAGCTGGTCCAGGAAGGATTTCTGCGGCTGCTGTTGTTGTGGCTGCGGCTGCGGCTGCGGCTGCTGCTGTGGCTGTTGCGGCTGCGGCTGCTGGAGGGAAGGGGGCAAGCCCTTGGGGATGGCCGGGTCGGCCAGAAACAGGGGGGTCTCCTCTGCTGTCAGGTGGGGCAGCAGAGGCGGGGTGCTGGCCGTCGGCACGTGTCGGTGCACCAGCATAGAAGGACTGTCGGGAGGGCTGAAGCCAACAGGCCGAGCGTCCTCCTCCTCCACGTTGTAAAGGGTCTTGGTGCTGGTATCCGAAAAGGTCAGGCTCTTGCCAGAGCCTTGGTGGCTTTTAGTGAGGGGCTTGATGACGGCCGTTTGGTTGCAGGCCGTCTCATTGGTCTTCACGTGCACAGAGAGGCGGTGCCACATGTGCTGTCCCTTGGGCACCTGTCTTCCACCTGGTTCAGACCATGACACAGACTTGCCATTAGAACTATGAATAAAATAGAGATGGATTTATTTGCAGATATACATGCACACGGGAGAGAATACATATACATAATCATTCTTGCAAGCTCAGCTCAATGCAATGTGACTAGCTCCCCCACTGGCTTCCACACCCCCAAACTCCCCCTATGACAGGTCAAATGTTAAAAGTTGCAACAGCCACCGCTTGCTTCTGAAACCGCAGTTAGTGGTGCCATCTGCCCCAAGACCAGGCAGGAAACTTTGACCCTGAGAAAAATTACAGGGAAGAAATGCCAGCCTGTTGTAGAAGCAGCTTTTTTGTTTTTTCCTTTTAGGTGTGAGTTTGCACACATCAGTTGTTACACAATCTCTCACACACACAAACATACACATATGCACTGTAAGGCAATGATAGAATTATGGCTCAGACTTCGAAAGATTCCGAAAGTGATGGAAGAAACAAATGAATAAGAGCTTAGTTACACACGAATACCAGAACACAGTGACCACAGATCTTGCCTCCCTTCCTTCTCAGTCCCTGGAACAAATTAAAGCCCACAGGTAAAGCTACTCTCGTGGTCCTGTGGGCTGTAAAATACATCCTCTCAGTTGCCCACGCTGACACGCAGGCCTTCCCTGTTACCAGTGCGGCACGCTCACACACAGGGCACCTGCACAGGAGAGAGAAGAGCAGATGACAGAAAACCCCAGACTCCATTCAAGTGTTTCGTAGCTTTTGATTTTCTTTTCATTTCCAAGCATTGCTCCTGACACATGTAGTGGATCACCACCCACATAGGGCCCAGATTCACTGCGGCTGGAGTGAGATGTTCACACTGGGAACTTTCAAGCAGGTGTGTCAGAAGAGAGATAGAACTGAGATGCCCAGGAAAATACAGATGCCTGAATCCTGCTTGAGTCCTCTGGCATAGTTTGGTACAGATGAGACAAAAATTAAGATTCAGACAAAGCAGAACTGACTGAGACGAAGACCCCTCCCTGGCCCTTTTCTCACTGAAACTTGCTGAGGGAAAATCCTGGGGCAACAGCAGCCCCCAGCCTTATAGACTCCCCTCTTCTCGGGACCCTCATAAAGTCAACGGAAGGGAAGAAGGAGAACCAGGGAGCTTTACTGTGTGCGCCCCCTACGAGTTCTGTTCTGCATGCTGCAATAGCTCTGGGTTTACTGTTGGATGCTTTGCTTATTGCCTGCATGACTGTTTAGCAGATGGCGGTAGCTTACCATAGCGCACTATTAATACCAACAGTGTTAATACTTAAATCGGGAAATATTTTCTCTTCTGTTCTTTTAGGAGTACTTTATCTATATTCATGGTAACAAGAAAGTAGCACAAGAATAATACATTTGAGAAATTAAAAAGAATAGGTAAAATGAATATTTTAGGTGGATGTGTCAAAGATAGATTATTCCATCTTACAGTCTTTTGTTTGAAAAAAAGTAGGAAATGATCAATAGTTACTATAATGGCTTATTTAATTATTTTGAAAATAGAGGAATGAGTATTTAAAAAATTAAATGTGAACATCACATTGATGATGAAGGTAGCATTTCTCCGTTTTATATTTTATTATTTAAAAAGTGAAGTGAGCCACATAAGTACACATTCTTATAAAAATTCTGATATCTACTATAGAAATTCTGGATATAAAGGTTCTAGATTAGACATAAAAGCTAAAATTTTTATCTCATTATTTAAGGAAAGGGTAGTTTCTCCACACAGATGGTTATCTATGCTGTAGTTTTCATCGTCTAAGAAAAAGAATCTTATCTCCAAACTATGATATAAAAATCAATATTTCTCTTAAGTGTATATTTAACATACTCCCTGAGAATGTGTAAGTGCTTGTAAATGCAAAGCGACTGACTCATCAATTCCCCTATGATCTTGTAAGAATAGCTGACTGTCTTCTGAGTTGAGCAAACTGAAGAACGCGATGGTGGCGTTCTTGGCAAGAACAGGCAGCCAACCAGCCAGACACAGGCAAGGCCAGAATCCCCAGGTCCTCCTCCAAATTGGAACCTCTAGGTAAGCTCGCCCCCCACTTTCACCTTTCTCAGTCCTCGCCATCCCCCGGCTCTACTCACGCTGTTCCTCTCTACATACAGTCAGTGTGCATCTTCTGGAAGCATAAAACTTTATGTTTGCCTCTTGTCTTGCTTCAATACGCTTTATTTAGTGTTTCATCCAAACTCGATGAGTTGCATTCTTATTCAACTGCAATAGAAACACTTGTTTCCTTCTCCGAATGCCTGCCTCTCAATGCGCACTCAGAAAATCTGCAAGCTAAGAAGGAGCCTCGTGTCTTCCTTGAGGTATGTGTGTGTGTTACAGAAGACAAAAACACTGACTTGAAGAGACACACGCACCGCTGTGTTCCTTGTGGCATGACCAGCAGTAGCTGAGACAGGAACGTAACCCAGATGTCTACCGGCAGGTGACTAGGTAGAGAAGATGTGGAATACACACAATGGGGTATTATTCAGCAATAAAAAAGTATGAAATCTTGCCCTTTGTGACAACATGAATGAACCTAGAGGGGTTTCACTAGGATAAATAAGTCAGAGAAAGATAATATTGTATGATCTCACTTATACTGTGGAATCTAAAACAAACAAACAAAACAGAAACAGACACACAGGTATAGAAAACAAGCTGAGAGTTGCCAAATGGGAGGGAGGCAGGAGGATAGGAATAAAAAACTTGCAAAAAAAATGTAAAGGCTTTGAGGAAAATAAATAGATTAAAAACAAATAAACACACAAATACAAACAAGTCCCTTGAGAGCAAGGCTTCAACTGGGACCAGCAGGCTCACCAACCCCGACAAAACATCACCCGGCCTCCACACACAGCAACAAAAAGGCGTTCTTGTGTGCCTGGAACTCGATTCACTCACACGGGTTGTTTTCCTCACTGCTCGAGAATTCTACGTGGGCCTCCTTTAAAATCATGCACTTCCGTGTGTGAAAGGTATCATCAACCACCTTGCAGACAGATATAATCACAATTTAGTTCTGCTTTCACTTGATACCACTTTTATTATTCTGGTGGGAGAGATTTTCCCCCTGTTGGTCAAAATTCCCAGCTTTCTTCCCCTCGGAGTTTTGCTCTGCATTTGCTGTCAAGTACTGTCTCATTCAGAAACAGCTCTAATGCCCCAGGGCGTTTATCAGATTAAGAAAATTAGATTAAATTTTTTTTCATGGCCAAAGGAAATTGCTTTTAAAATCCAAAGACAGTGGAGAAAATGTGTCATCTTGGAGAAAGGGCAGCACAAAGTATAAACTTTGGTCCTTGGGTTGGTTATTTCTAACCCGTGGTCCATAGACAGCTTGAATTGTCCGTGAATGTACCTGTAGGACCAGAGGCGCGGATACATGGAGCAGGCGGACAGGTCTCAGGGGGGAGGGTGGAGGTGGGGACCGGAAGAGATTAGCCAAAGAACCTGTATGCACAGCCCATCGACACAACGGGGTGAAGGGGGGGGGGAGGGCAGGGGGGCGGGTGGCTAAGGGAAGGCTGGGGGGGGCGTCTGGAGGGAGAAAATGGGAGACATCTGTAATAGTGTCAACAACAAAAAATAAATAAATAAAAACCTTACAAAGAATATATCTGTGGATCAAAAAAAAATATTGTTTTTAGCCTGAATCAATAGTATGTTTTTGTAGATTAGGCACTGTTATTGTTAAATGCATGCCAAAACCCTTATGATAAAATGTACTGCTAGATACAAGTGTAACTAAATTCTGGGGAGCTTTTTTTTGTATTTTGTGTTCAAGTGGGGCCATTACCAAACGTACAATTAATTATCAAAGTTGGGGTGAAGGGTTAATAGTCATTTTGGTGTGTAAAGCAATCATCTTATTTGCAAAGGTTGGAAAGCCACTGCTGTGATATCAAGGGGAGAAAATGTATAAAATACGGACAGCAATAAGGAATAAATGCACTATAAAAATGCAATATTACTGTGAAATAAGACTTTGATCCGATTTCCAGATAACTTCAATACCTTGTGTTTCAGCCACCAACTTCTTCCTCCTATTATTTGACTTGACTGTTTCTGGATCTCAGGAAAAGCACCCGGGCCCAGGAGCACCACATACTTGACACACAGTATCCCATCCTTGTTCTAGCTTCCAAGGACAGATACCATGCCTAAACCACTCTCCTACTGCAGCAGCAGCATATTAACTGCAGCAGCATTTGGAATTAACTACCTCGGGTGCTTCTTATTTTTATTGCTACTCAAGTTAGTAGAGGAAACCCCAGTTAAGCCCGAGAGGAAGGAGGGGAATTACTCCCTGACGCGTGCAGAGCCAAGCAGGCCTGGGGCTGCAGTTTCAGCTACGACAGGCTCAGGGCCTTACTTCGGTTTCCCTTTCATTAGATAAGTATTACAATCCCCCCAAACAGAAAACGCAATATTTACAGCCCTGTAGAGAAGGGTTGGAAGTGGGTGGTGTAAACAGATTAGTGTATCTCTGGCGTTGAGAGTGATACTGTTGCGTTTGTTTCAGTAAGTACCAGTTACATCTGCTGAGCACTGCTGCTCTCGGCTCCAGAAAGGTCTAAAACAGGAATAACAGTGGGTGGGTGTTTGCGATCAGGAGGAAAGCATCCTGAACAAGCTGCCTGAGGGGGAAGCTCACACAACACCTGTCTCCCTTATGTCCGATTCAAGTCTTTGCCGCTAGGCGTAATAGCTTCCCGGCAGACAGAAGGATGCACCCAGAGAGCCCGCAGACAAGGAAAGGCACTCCCACAAGGAGGGAAGACACCAACCGAGGAGGGTAGCATGTGTTTCCTCTGAAAATGCAAATGGGAATAGAAAATGCTACTGAGTCACAGAGTGGAGAGGATGGGTCACCACGTTAGGAACCAAAGCCACAAACAAACCGAAGCCACAGGCTGCAGGTCTGCTGTGGCCGTGCAGCTGCGGCTGGGACAGGAGGCCTTTCGAGGAAGGGGTGGCGCTGCCTCCGCGGAGACCCTCCCTCCCGTGA